CCCCTAAAATTGGATTTCGGGTTGGCAAGCCCTCACCCCTTCCCTGTTCCCTCTTCCCTCTCTTTCCTTGTCGGGCGAAGCAAAGCAGGCTAGCTTACATCATTCGAATCATTCGTGAAGTTGATGCCAACACTTGGGAATTCTGGGGTCTCGTTGCAAAGCTTGATTCCGTATCCCCTTTCCAACACAAGGGGAGGTGATAGTCAGAAGTGTAGTACGGTTTTGGGTAGTAAGGTCTTTGGGATAATGCAGGGAATGTACCACCTTGCACGTTGGATCAAGCTGACGACAACGAAAACGACTGATGGAAAGTTTGATTACTACGATGACTGATTGCGTTGCTACAATTACAAAGAAATTGTCATTGTTTCCGCCTCCTCCTCCTCCTTCTGCTCCTCTTGCTTGTCCTCCTCATCATCATCATACTGCATCTGCCCCGCCACCACGACAAACACAGCGATTCCTCTCCAATCAAACCGCTCAGCTTATTCGAGCCTGCAGCAATTCATCACGTGCGGCCAAGCGTCTGTAAAGTCGTTGAAACGAGGCTAGGCGCTTCCCAAGCGAACCAAAAGCTTCGGGGCAACGAGCAGTTGAGACGAGCAAAAAAAAATGCCCGCCGGGGCTCGGCTACCACTCGCAATTCGCTCGTTTCTCACCGTAATGTTAAAATGGTGATACCTCGTCCGCTGTGCTGCCAGTGCTAAACAGCAATGCATTACAGCACACCCCAACAACTCATGCAGACTCTTCTTTGCTCTACACGTGTTTGGGCAGTGATTTTTTTTAACCTAAGCATTCTCCCCGAGGACTCTGACCACTCACGCAGTCCAACAGGGCTTGCGGCTTGCGTGTGTGGACTTGAAAATTTATTCTACTTCAGGCACGGCTTGCAGTTCGGATTTTGTCGACTAGTAGTGACGAGGCCAGCACGGGATGTCGGGGACCGGGATGTCGGCGGCCGTGCTTTATTTATGCTTTAAGGCTTAGGGCGTTGAGTTTTGGGGCTAGGGGTGTTAGGAGCGGGTGCCGGATCACTTCTGTCTTTTTTTGGGGGTTCGCTTGTGTCTTTT